GGGTGGTGGCCCCCGTGGCAGGAAGGGGCAGAGCCGAGCGCTGCAGACGTACGAGTTCGTGGCCTGGTTCGAGCCGGCACAGGACCCCTTGCGAGAGCAGGTCGCCGTCGTCGCCGCCGCCGCCGCGGCCGCCGCCGCCGCCCCCATCGCCGCCGTCGTCGTCGTCGTCGTCGTCGGCGTCCTCGCCGTCGTCGTCGTCGTCGTCGTCGTCGTCGTCGTCGTCGTCGTCGTCGTCGTCGTCGGTCGAGGAGGATGAGGAGGAGGGGACGGAGGAAGAGGAACGACGGGGAGGAGGAGGAAGAGAAGGAGGAGGACCAGGTAAATCCAAGACTCACCAACGATGTTGGAATACACCCTCTCTCCCTCTTCACCGGCCCCTACAAGGTGTCATTCCCACTGGGGAAAGTGCCCCATTGGGAGAACCGTTTGAAGATCCAGAAGCGTGCCAAAACACCATTCTCGGGACCCAACGCTACGAATCAACCTGATTGCGTCGTCTTGACGATCCTGACTCGCGCCAGACCACCATTCCTGGGATTTCAAGTCCGCGAATCAACGTGACTGTTGCGCCCTGACAATCCTGACCCCCTCCAAAACACACGTTTTGATACACTGACCATAGGAAGCCGTGAAACTCCTGCAACTGTTTAAGACGAGTGTGCGCGGCGCAAGGCGAGATCCACATGTTGAAAAGGAACCGTCCTCAATCCGTGAAACTCTTGCAGTTGTTATAAGAAAACGATTGTGCGTGGCGCTGAGGCGAGAGTCACATTTTGAGAACGACCCGCCATCCATGTGTGCGCGGCGCCAATGCGAGAGCACGACGAATGGTCGTGGCGCCAAGGCGAGAGCCACATGTCGAAAGCGACCCCGCCCTCCATCGGTGAAGCTCTTGCATTTTTGTAAGACGAGTGTGCGCGGCGCTAAAAGGTGAGAGCCACGTTTTCAAACGACCCGCCCTCCGTTTGTGAAGCTGCTGTCACTTCGTAAGCCCCAGGGTCGGACATGGTAAGGAAGTCTCAGGTGAGACGTCTGGCCCGCCCTTCCGACTGGCCTCGGGGTGCCAAGGGGAGGAGTTGTTCATAAGGACAAGGGATGGAGGAGGAGGAGGATGAGGAGGACGAGGAAGAGGAAGAGGACGAGGACGAGGAGGAGGAGAAGGAGGAGGAGGAGAAGGAGGAGGAGGAGGAGATGGAAGAAGAGGAGATGGAGGAGGAGGAGGAGGAGGAGGAGGAGGAGGAGGAGGAGGAGGAGGAGGAGGAGGGAGGAGGGAGGAGGAGGAGGAGGAGGAGGAGGGGTGCGACAGGGAGGAGTTAAGTTACTCATAAGGAAGAAGAATTAAGCCCCCCCCCCTGTTCGGAGGAGCCAGCTGAGGCCCCGTCCCTCCCCGCCCCTTCCTCCTGGCCAGGGGCAATGACAAGGGGGGCTGGGATAGGGGATGTGGGGGGGAGGGGATGGCGGATGTCAGTGGTGGCGGGGCGGGGGTAGGGTCGGATCGGGAGAGGCTGGGCGCGCAGTGGAAGTGCCCGAGCGGGCCTCGACAGAATCTCGGTCTCAGAAGATTGTCCTTCCCTTCGTCGCGACCTTCTGCACAATAGGCAGTTTTCGACGCTCGGATGCAGTCTCTGAGGGTTAAGGAAGTCTCATCATGAGTGTTTAGGTTCTTTGTTCCCCAACCAGTGCTTGCACTGAAGGGGTCCGGGCGGAGATTGAAAGATTTGGCGAAAGCACCAGGCCGATTTCGGTGGGCGGCCGGGCTCCCAGGTTCACGGTTCCGGGGTCCCGGTTCCGCGTTCCGGGCCGATTTTGTTGGGCGGCGGGGTTCCCTGGTTCCCGGGTTCTTGGTCGATCTTCTTATCGATCGCTCTCACCATCGATCTCATCACCCACCTCTCTATCGATCTCACGATCGATCTCACAATCGATATCACTGCTGATCTCACAATCGATCTCACTAGCGAGCGCACGGGCGATCTCACGATCGACCTCACCATCGATCTCATTGAAACAACTTCACTATCGGTGTCACGATCGACCTTATAATTGTTCTATACTATCGATTACACTATCAATCTCACTATCGATATCACAACCGATTTCAATATCCACTGATTGGGATGTTTCTCTGGTGTAATTTGCGTGTCTGGATTTCCAGGTTATCCAACACTCGGATGCGTTTGTGGATCCGCGGATGTTCAGTCCAGAAGGTCAATTCGACATTCGGCTGAATTGATTCACAACATTTTCGTAGCCAACCTCATCACCAGTCGCATTATATCGCGCAGGCCTGATGCGTGCACGCTTTGATTCGCAAACTCGTGTCTTCGGCTTGGGGTGGTGAGGTGCCGCGCTTGCTGCAGTGCTCCTCCTGGATACTGGGCAGGGGCGGACAGCAGGTGTAAGCATAGGTTCTTGGCTGTGCACGCCCATCACATGCGCGGTGTCGTCGGCGGCGTCGGAGCGCAGCGGCGCATATGCCCATGGCAGGAGGAGTGGTACCACTGTGGCCAATTCTGCTACTGACCTATTACCTGCTTCTCCTCCTCCGCCGTCTTCGGCAGGAAAAGTGCAGGATCATCGTGACTTCGACGATCGGTCATATCTTCGGCCTGGACTTCGACCAGCGCTGGGGGGACCTAGCCGAGATGTTTCACGCGCCGGTCACGCCTCCTGGGGCTCGCACCTGGAAGCTTGCGTCCAGAGTTCGCGTTTGAGCGTCTGTGGTTCAAGCGTGACCCAGGCGCATACGGTCGCGACGCGGCCATCGTTTGTGTTGGTGCAGAAGCATGACACAGATCACCAACGTGCAAGTTCTGTAGCCGAGATTGATTGATGCCACTTGCCCTCCCCCCTCGCAAGATAACCCGGGATACTCCTGACAGGTCACTGCCTGTCTTGACGCTGCGCGAGGCGCTCGAAGGTCGAGGCCTGAAGTTCTAGGTTCTCCAGCGTTTTTCTTCGTGGGGTCCCGGAGCCTTCGCCAGCCTCCAGGTGCAGCTGTGCCTCGCCGAGAGAGCTCCTGAGGTTCCGCTCTCTGTTTCGCCACGTGATGCTGCTGCTGCTCTTCCTCGTCCTCCCCTCCCGTGGCGAGGGCTGAAACGGCGAACAAGTAGACCGGCCCTTTCCGGCAGGCCTGCCTGAGGACAGCCCGCATGGTGGCCTACCTTCCACTCCAGCGGAGCGCTGCGGCGAAACACCCAGACAACTTGCGCTAGAGCCCCACTAAGGACAATGGTGATGAGGCGGAGGTGGAAGAGGAAGAGCAACATCAGGAGGAGGAGGAGCCTCCCACCTGCCCACCCCCATCACTGAATCCTCTGCCTCATCCTCATGCTCATCCTCCTCATCCTTGATCATCATCCTCATTGTTCGAATGGAGTCTGGCACTGCGAGAATCCACTTCATGGTCAATGGAGCTGTCTGACAGAATCTGGGAGGGTTTTTGCCGCACCTGCCTTCACAGTGCGCATTTCACAGACAAGTTGCCTGGCCACGCATGATTCCACGGCCAGTTGCTCTTGTTATTCATCTGCCTACACTTCCATTGCGAGGATTGAAACTGCGTCCATGCGCAGCAGCGGAAACATACAGTTACTCGCAGGTGTATTTATGTTTGTGTAGACGTACACCCCTCGCCCTAGCTCGCCTGAACCGTGCCTTCAGGAATAAGCCGCACGGTGTTCCAAAATTTTAGTTTAGTCGGACAAGGTGATTGAATCGCTTCGCTCATTCCTCCGGCCCATTTCGCATGCCTGAGCCGCGCATATCCGCCACCGCGCTTGTGGAAGACGCGTAGCTGGGCAGCAGCGGGGCGAGAGTGGCAAGATGGCCCGAGAGACCTCTGCAGACTTTCGAGATTAGCCGGGGCTGTCCAGGAGGGCCGAAAAGTTTCGAAAGGGATTCTGCCACCGTGCCTTGGTAGAAGGTTAGAGTCCTCCTGGGTACGCTCGGGGTCGCTTCGGAGAGCTCTAGGCAGTTTCTTAGGATGAAGTGTTGATGATTATTTTTGGGGCCTCTTCGGAGCCTTGCCGGATTTGGGGACTTTTGGGGGTTGTGGTGGGCTCTTAAACGCGTCGGGTCGTTGGCATTTGCTTGCGTGCTGGAGGGGACATTTGGGGAGCCTCTTGGGGCCGCTGGGGAGCCTCTTCAGCGTCGCTTGGGGGCCTCCTGAGGGCCTCTTGGGGGCTTTTGGGGCCTCTCAGGGGCCTCTTGAGGCCTCCTGGGGGCTGTTTAAGGCCGAGGGCTCGAAGTTTTGTTTTGTGTTCCCCCTTTGGGGCATCGCTTGGGGCCCTCTTGGGTCCCTCTTGGGCCGTCTTGGATGCCTCTGGGGCCGTCTTGGAGCCCTCTTGGGCCATCTTGGGGCCTTCTTGGGAGCTTCTTGGGCCCTCTTGGGGCGATCTTGGGGGCCTCTTGGGCCGTCTAGGGGCGTCGGGAAGCCGAAAAGATGGACACGCCAAAATCTGCCCAAAACCTAAGGAAAAGTAATGAATTTTGCCACTTGGGGCCCTCTGGGGAGTGCTCTTGGAGGCCTCTTGGGGCGTCTGGGGGCCATCTTGGGCGTCTTGGAACGATCGTGTGGCATCTCGGAGCACTCTTGAACCATCTTGGAGGGCTATTGGCGGCCTCGTGGCCCTTCTTGGGGCTCTCTGGAGGGCCACGGGGGCGGCGCCCAGGAGGAAAACCATCTCTGATCCGAGTCTGCCGGGGATCGCCCGGGGTACTTTTCGTCCGGGGACCCCCAGGGGCCGCCCCGCGCGCGAAGTAGAAGTATTATTTAGCAGTTACCGGAGATCTTAGCACGCCTCTGGCCCGTTGGGCCGGCGAATTTTTCTGCTCCATGCGCAAGGTCCAAGTCAGGTAGAATGAACGTGCAGATTGCGCGCAATGGGTCCAGAATGTTTGGCGCTGGTTTTAAGTAAAACCTTTGGTTGTTGCTGTTGTTGTGTCGTAGAGTTAATGTTGTTTCGGTTGTTCTCTCTCTCTCTCTCTCTCTCTCTCTA